ATTACTAATAATTTTAGCGATATTTTTATTTATTATAATTTATAGCAATATTATGAATGAGGAGTGGGTACACCTTCGTTATATTTTCACTATTTTATATCATTTTATTTTCAGTATCCTTGCATATATATGAATTATAACTGTTTTTAAAAATTTATCATGCTCGTTTGATAAGAAATTGACACATTGAGTTATAATTGTATTTAACTGTGTGATAAAAATATTATTTATCAATAAAACTAGTATTATATGTGAATAATTAATTGTTTTTGTCATATGTATTATAAATACATTAAAAGTGGTCAAGTGACAAAAAATATTATTGTTATAAATGGTAGTTAAATATTTTCTTAATATACTATATTTATGTAAGTTTCCCTTCAAAATTGGACCTAAAGCCCTGAAATTAAATTTTAGACGAAAAACATAATAGGAAAAATTTCAAAAATAGCAAACATAATAAAATAATAAGGTTCTAAAGTTATATTTTCGATAATTGCGCACCATAGCTATTTCATTTGCGAATATACAATATGATAAGTATATATAAATTTTGTATTTATACATTTAGAAATTTTCCAAAACCTCATTTTATTTTGTTTTTCAATATACAAAGAGGGTAATTTGTTAGAGTAACATTCACATAGAGCAAACATAGAAATCAGATTTGTATGTTATAGCTATAGTTTGCATAATTGCGCTCTATATCGAATTTTATGTTTACTATGGAGCTTTTGATTTGTATAACTCGCTAGATACATTCAATTTTATAAAAATTATTAAGTTTTGTATAAATTCATTTATATATTGTAATTTGTATATGAGATATGTATTTATATAATTATAAGTGTATAGGTCGAAAATATATGTATTTATATTTGTATATACACTTTTCTATCGCTTTATACAAACACAAACACATTTTATACATTTGTATAGCGAATGAGTAATTGTATATCGAAAATGACTAATTGTATATCGAATCAGATGGCAAAAAAAGTGAAATGTTTTATGCGAATTACAAATAAAATAAACTATAACCACACCATTTAATTTGAATTAGTAATTTGCTATTTCACACAATTTTCTCAATTTATTATGATTTTTTTCATAAATTATATATAAATAATCATGTTATATATACTGAATTTATACAATGATTGCGAAGTATAATTTTCTTAAACTGTAACTATGCTACATAATATAGGTTAAATGTTTGCTATTCCAGTCATTTTCCCAAAAAACAAATCCAACCTTAAAATCATGTTATAATTATTTTCAAATGAATAACCGTGAGATGAAAAGATTGCAAATACAGTTTGATTTGTAGTACTATAGGTATTACTTTGGAAAAAATTGTATATAATATCAAATTAAATATTATAAATATAATTTGATTTAATTGTACCCTATAACAAACTATTGTTATTTTTGCCTCTCTCAACTGGAATCTCGCTCGCCGCTCTCGTTTTGGTGGTACTCTCGCTTGTCTCTTTCGCTTTTATACAAATACAAATGTATAAAATGCGTTTGTGTTTGTATAAAACGAGAAGAAATTGTATATATATACATATGTTTCGTTCCCCTCTCTCCCTCCCCTAAATCTCGCTCGCCACCCTCGTCTCTTTCGCTTATATAAATAGAAACGAAATGTACAAATTGCATTGTATATACACATGTAATTTACTGTGTCTGATAGATTGACGCACAAATTCATAATGTGTTTTTTTTTAAATTGTTATATTTGATTTGATTTATATCTATTTTTTCAATTTACGCGTACATAGAAAAATATATTATCATACATTTACTTTTTTCACTTTTTTGTAACTACGATTTCAACATTGTTACTAGTTTAGATATATTTTAGTTTAGCAAGAGTTTATTTCATTGCATTGTTAGCCATCAAAGGAACTTGAAGCTCAAGTTTTAAAAATTAATTTACGTATTGCATATAAAGTTTATCTGGAGTTGTGATACCTCAGTAGAATTGAAATGTTGAGGGGAGTTTGAATCTTAAATTAGAGGCTATTTGGATAAAATTTAGGTGGGATTCGAACTAAATTTCAGCCCTAATTCATTAAAATTCAAATTTATAGTCAACTTTGTATTGAAATTATGCAATAATTATATGTTGAGTGGTATAATAATTGTATTTTAAGTTCGTATATTGTTGTAGTTGTTTTAAATTTTCTATTAAATAATGTTGAGTGTGAGTTGTATATAATGCTGTTATAATTATATTAAAACCAACATAAAAATTTATACAGTTATATATATATATATATATATATATATATATATATATATATATATACTATA